TACCATCATAGTGACCCAGTGCGATCATGTGAGGGTGGTCAGGATGGTAATCAATACACATGACCCCACTTTCTGTTTGGAAGGAGAACCTAAAACAAGAGGACAAGCTTCTKTTATATAATTGTAAGTAAAGTTGCTACCCTACAGCCCTGCTCATCCATCTCTTACTCAGATGATATCTCTTAAGGTGACTGCCAACTTTTGGAAATTGATTTAGCTTTTTTTAAAACTTTGATTTTCTGAATTATAATTTAATGCTGATTCCAAATCTGGAAAGAAAAATAGGGTGTCCTGAGCTTTTTTTCGAGATAATCAGCATTTAATGGAAGTCTACGCGCAAGCTTTTGGAGCAAAACTTGCGCCACCGGAAGTAATTAGAAAAATAATAAGATTCATAAGATAATAGTTATTTGATGACTATATGATCGCACGAATGAAGGCTAGTCAATCATTCTACAATAATGCGTGGATATTTTAGACAAAAAGACAAAGAGATACATTGATTTGTCATATTTTGTTGTTTCGGTGCTCTTAAAAAATCTCATAAAGTCGAACAATTAAATCCCTACAAAAATCTTTTTTTTCCATGTTATTACTGATATAAACTTTTCCTATAAAATGTTGATATAACCTAGATTTTTAGGAGTTTTTTCGAATGAGCTATTCAAAAATAGAGCGTTCCGTGCAAAATTTGAGGGTTTTGCCATGTTGAAGCTGATCAAAACGCGTATGGTTCTTCAATGAAATCTTGTAGATTTTTCAGCAGTTTTTGAGCGTGCACACATCATGGCCGGCTCAAATCAAACGTTCAAAAGTAGGCAGCCACCTTAAATAGATAATATATTAGGGATTATTAAAGAGGTATTAGTGGTGACTTACTCAGGGTATGTAGGGTTTTTCAGGGTGTACATACAGACCATTCCATATGACTGTTTCAGAAAGTCATCTGTGGGTTAAGAAATAATTATTTTAAAATAGAGATGTGGAGAAAATTATGTRAAATTGAACTCACAGTTGTTTTGTAGCTGTGCCATTGAGCACATTCAACAATATCAGAGGTTGCAGGTTTGATACCTTGACTCAGCATCACACCACTCTTGAGAACAAGGATCATATAGTGGTAGGTGCTCCCCCACCCATCCCCTAAGCCAAATCATCACCTCTGGGGTTGCAGGTTTGATACCTTGACTCAGCATCACACCACTAGCTCTTGACAACAAGGATCATATAGTGGTAGGTGCTCCCCCACCCATCCCCCAAGCCAAATCATCACCTCTGGATTTRCAGGTTAGCTTAGTACCATTAATTTATTTAGCTTACATGATCCACAAGAGACAGCAAAGAAATCCTGGTACATTGGGTTCCTAAAACAAGATCAATTATGCATGAAACGGTACAGTCATGTATATTGAATAGTGATTATAACTATTGCATGGCTGGTATAATGATTATATAAAAGAAACTGTATGTATGTGTAATACTGTATGTGACAACCCTAAGAATGTCTGAATAGGAGGCTAT